CTAGACTGTTCAGTTTCTCTTGCAAATCTTTTACTCTGAGCCACTGGTTTGACTGCAGAGTACCATAAACAAGCAGAAAAAACAGCACGAACAAGACACAGAGTCCAGCCCTCAGGGAACTTCCATTCCAGGAGCACTAAAGACCTTAAGGACTTAAGAATGGATGGTTTTGCTACGATGACTAATTAAAATGGGGAGAAAGAATAGAATGAGACATAAAGCTCTGAATGCCGGCCCATCAGGAGAGTTTGCAGACTGACTATATGAAATGTGTAACAGCTTTCTAGAAGGAGGTCTGGCTGAAAAGATCAGGTTCAGGGACATATACATATAAATGAATGCAGGATCTCATTTTCATAAATGTAAATAGTAAACAAAATTGTTATTTGTATCTGAATTATGTTCAAATAGAGATACATGGGAGCCCATTGCCACAGTGGGAAGATTTATCCATACATACGAGCATTACTGCCCCTATTTTCTAGCAAATTTCAGCTCAACACATGGCCGATTTAATCTCTCCTCTTGCACCTCTTAATTCCTCCATTCTCTTCTCCCTAACTTACACTCCAATGAGAAAAACATCAACCTGGCTTTTTGTAAAACCTCTCAAATGACCCACGTCACACTCAAATTCTGCCACTATGAATCCTTCCAAATGACTGTGCCATTAAAGTACAGACTGTTCCTTCACGGAAAAGCACGCTCATTCTAATACAGAGAACGTTCACCCAATACATTTGTTGCAACTTGGTTAGAAAAATACTGTTAATACAGGCCATCTAACAGGACTGGGAACAGCCTCTTTACACAGAAGCTGGCTCTAATTTTAAAGGTAAAAACCATGGTGGGGATGGGAACAAATCCTTAAGAAAGAAGAGATAAACTTTAAAGATTAAGGTGATTAAGATAGAGCTCTGAAAAAAATCCAAGTACTTAGACATTAGCAGGAGAGATGGCATCTAGAGCACTGGTCCTCATTTTTATTAATCAAGCCCACTGCAGTTAAAAAAAAAAATGGTTTTGAGAGCTCTAATTTTTCAATATTCAGTTATTACGTACTAAATGTACAATAGCCATGTGTTAGATTTATGTTATAAAATACAGAAATTTTCAAGAGTCAAACAGTAGATATAAATAGATGTTCTGATGTTTTTGTAGCTCATCTTGCATTTTCCTTTGGTTACATACATTCCACATTGATGGCCACTGATCTAGACCAGAAGTCAGTAAGCTACAGCCCACAAGGTATATTTCTGCAAATAAAGTTTTATTGAAACACAATCATACCCATTCAGTTACACAGAGTCTAGACCTGCTTTCAAGCTACAACAGCGGTGATGCTCAACAGTGACCGTCTGGCTCATAAAGCCTAAAATATTTACTATCTGACCCTTCACAAAAAACATTTCCAATGTCTGATCTAGAGTCTCAGTGATGAAAAAAGTCCTGCCAGCTCTTGATCAAGTAAGAAAAGTAGATGATTGTGATCCACCTCACTAATGCAGGGTTTACTGAGAAAATAAAATTTCTCCAGCTAAGAAATTTAGAAAAATCTACTTGTAGGAAAGTTCAACATTTTGACAAAGCTTCTCCATTTTGGATAACTTTCTACATATTTCAAGCAACTGTATTAAGTAGCTTCTCTAGAGATAGCTTCCCACAGCCAACAGATTAATCACCAAATTCAGCACAAGGGATTAACTGGAAAGTTTAGCACTGGGGTGGTAGAGGGTAGAACAGCTCAGTGGTAGAGCCCATGCTTAGCATGCATGAGGTCCTAGGTTCAATCCCCAGTACTTTCATTTAAAAAAAAAAAAGGAAAAGAAGTATAGCACTGATGCTATATATAACCTATTGATGGCATAAAAATGATGAAGGATGTACAAAGAAGGAAAGCTGGAGAAACACCTCAGGCTGCCCTACATGTCTTTACTCCTATAGACCAGATGTTCTCCAAATACGGTCCACGGACCCCTGGAGGACCCTGAGATTCACTTGGGAGGTTCACAAGTTCAAGACAGTTTTCATAATGATACTAAAACAAGTCTGTCCTTTTCATCATGTTGCCACCTGCGAGGATGGTGCAACAGTAACAGGGGAGAAAACCGCTGGTACCCTACACAAAGCAAGGCAGCAGCGCCACGCTGTGCAAATATTACTGAACCCGCCACTGCTGCACAAACAACACCAACTTCATTTACAAACATCCTTGACGAAAAAGTAAAGAGTTATTTTTGTTAAATCTCAGCCCTTGAGTGCATACATTGTAAATACTCTGTATAACAAGACAGAAGTAGATGAGGAGTTTGGGATTAACAGATACACATTACTATATATAAAGTAGATAAACAACAAGGACCTACTGTATAGCTCAGGGAACTATATTCAGTTTCTTGTAATGAGCTGTAATGGACAAGAATCTGAATATATATATATATCTGAGTCACTTTGCTGTACACCTGAAACTAACATTGTGAATCAACTACATTTCAACAAAAAATAGGAATTAAAAAAAATGTAGACACAATATGCTTCTTCCATATACCAAAGTGGTACCTGTCTCAATGTAAAGAATTTTCTATGACAGTTGGAGTTATTAGAACTAGCTCTCTTTTTTCATGAAACACCATGAAAAGGTGACAAAGTACAATTATTGAGACTTGGGGTTTAGCAAATATTTTCTCTAAAATGCACGAAGATAGCCAGTTATTTCAAGGAAATCACCTGCTAATACTTTTTTCCAAGGGTAAATTTATAACTTGAAAGCCAAAGTTTGAATTTTGGGCAACTTTTATCTGCCACTATGAGCTTTGCAAGCTTTGCTGTCCTTAAAGATCTTTTGATAAGATCAGTAGTGACAGTTTAAAAATGTTTTTCCTCACTGTACAACAGCAAAATAGTTGGATGTTATGCGTAACTCAGTGAACCAGTATTTCCTAAATGACCAAGGCAAGATTCTACAAAACATCTACAGGTAAAATATTCAAAGCACAAGATGGACCAAATGGACTATAATGTAACAAAATACAAAAAAGTTCACTGATAACGATTTCAGACTTCACACTGCAACTGATCTGTAAGAAACCCATCATGTGCTGAGTTGGGTTGAAGTATCAAAAAAGAATATCAGAAATTATGTGAAAAGACTATTAAAAATAGTCCCTTTTCTAACTACAGATCTGCATTTGGTTGGATTTTCTTTCTAATTCTTCAGACGAGACAACATACAGTAACAGAGTGAGTGCAGAAGCAGCTATGAGAATTCAGCTATCTTCTATTAAGTCAGAAATTACAGTGATCTGCCGAAAAAGGTAAAATGATGCAATTCTTTTCACTGACTGATTTTTGTTTTGGAAAAGAGCTATTTTTCAGAAGAATGGTATCAATGTTAGCCTGGAATTGGTGGATTAACATTACTTTTCAAGGAATTCATAAATTTTTCATTTTCATTTTCATTTCCAACATGATAAATACCAAAAGGTATAACCCACAAAAATAAAAGCACAACCATTTTCAAGAATGGCAAAAGATCCTAGGACCAAAAGCATCCAGACCTGATACTGTAGGCCTACCTGCTCCTATCTTAAGTCTACATGCAGTTTTCTGTTTTTATTGAAAAATACTCACCAAGTAAAAGATCTTCCCTGTTTCTCTGTTCACTTTTTCATGAGCTACACAGGAAGTATCTTGTCTAAATGGAAGTATGACATGCCCACAAATATAGGAAGAGGGAGAATGGCTCTAAGCACAAAGAGGAATCAAAGCCAACCGTAGGAACCAGGGGCTTCAGGCACTTCAGCCACATCTACAGACACAGCTGAGCCTGGTTCACCAACCTCCACAGACCCAGGCTGTAGGAGAGGAACTACATCCCACCAGGACACTTTTCCTTTGCTCAAGTCAATTGCCTAGAACTCTGGGGACCCCACTCCAATTCCGATTTCCTGCCAGGTAAGTGGAAAAATCACTTAAAATGGTATTTTGGGGGCAAGAGGCTGGCGGTAAAAAATTTTTTAATTAAAAAAATTTTTAAAAAGGCAATCATTCTCTGTACTATTTCAATTGTCCAAATGGCATAAAAGGGACAGTTGGAATCTGAGATTTCTCTCTCCATTCCAAACAGAGAAAAAATTTCTCAGGCGGGGATTCCCTGACATGGGACTGTGATTAACTGCCCACCTAAAATAAGTCGCAGAATCTCCAGAGTTGACCAGATTGGGATAAATGGCCAGAAAAGACTTGGGGTGAGGGGGTTGCAACATTCAACTTCGTCAGGGAGCAAAACCACTTTGCTAGGTCTGTTCTCGCAGAGAGAAGGGAGAAGAGGAAAGCTGCTTCTTCTCTGGGGCCTGACCACAGGAGTCATGGCCCTAAATACATTAAAGGCAAGATCTTAGAGCCTAAAAGTCTCTTAAAGAACTAGTAACAGGTTTCATAATTTTATGATCACCATTGTAAGCCAGGTATTGGCAAACTGATTCCTACCAAAATGAGCATATATACTCTAGCAATCCCCAAGACAGAAAGAAATTATAAATTAAAAGTCATTTGTTAGGATTTCAGCAAAATGTTCCCTCCTAGAAAACTGTTCTAAATGGCAATTAGGCAAAATAGTACTACATTCTACATACAGGGTAGATTAAATCAATTTGCCAGCTGGTATAAGAACCTAAGAATTATACTGTTTCCACGGCTTCTAACTGTGAACTCGGATTTGAGATACACATGTGTACTCCATCCAGAACCAATCACAGTGATGAACACATTTGAAACTATTACTCAAAAGGCAAAATCCAGAGATTCTTAGATTCTCCTGACTCCCCTTATAAAAGGATTATCTGGAGATAATGGACACCCGTAAATACAACAGACTAGCTCCGTTCTGAAAGCAAGACCAGGAGTGAAAGAAAAGAAAGAAGCAGCTTACCGGTGGTCAAGATGACTGAAGTCTTGTAAATTCAATTCCCTGGTGTCTTGTGTCAGATAAATGGTATCCACATCCTATTTGAAATATAATTCAGTCACATAAATAGTCCACGGAGATGATCAGAGAAGCAAGAAGATGCAAAGAGAATCAAACAATGGCATAGCAGATTTTTATAAAATCTGAGGAAGGAAGATTTTAAGCAAACAATGAACAGTGGGAAAAAAGAGAAATAAGCCAGTAAAATATTGGAATATTCTCCAGGTGTGTGTGTGTGTGTGCATGCACGTGCGCAGAGACACTTACCCACTGTACTTCTTCCCTGTATGAAAATCCAAGCCAGTCACAAACACAGGCATACATCTGAGAAAATCCACCTGAAACACACAACAGAAATGTAACAGGACTGCGACTAAACGATTTTCAAGTTAAAATCTAAAAGCTTAAATATGGCCGATGTTGACAGTGCTGATTAGCCTTTCCGTTTGGGGAAACAGCAAAGATTCCCCCCCCTGTTCTATAGTAAGTACACAGCAGGATGCAATCCAGCTTAAATATAGGACGTTTGTCCACTGATCTAAGGTCTGTGTGGGGCTAATTACACCTTAAAACTAATTGTACCTTTATGGGAGCAAGCTAGGAATAGACTTAACTTCCGGCAAGAAGACATCCATCCCAGCCTTTTTTAAGTTTTAAAATGCATGCTCACCACAGGGGCCCTGCTCGGCCACAGTCTGGCTGTCCCACAGAGCCTGGAGACTGGCCAGTCGCTCAGATGGCTCCATGCAGACTTTCTTCATGATTCTCCTGTAAGAGCAACAACCATACATTTCAAAAATCAAGTTTTCTGAAGTGCACCTAGAAATTTACTTTGTAATATGCCTATTTTTTTTTAAACAAAATGGGTATCCTTTCAATTTTGGTAAATAGAATTCCATGTTTTGAGTACTAGGGAACTGGAAATCTACAGGAACTGAATAATAAAACCCTTTATTTACCTTCCATTTGGAGGTAGCAACAACAGGTATTTAACAATATAAATACTCCCCATGTTACTGAGTTGTTGTATAGCATTAGATTTATTAGAATAGTTAGAAAGTGGTGTGTTCTGCTTAATAAATTTTAGATTACGTGTATACTAAGTATAAATTACTAATAGTCAAAGAAGTGAAGTACGGAGCTCCTCTTCTGCCCTTCCACAGTACAAAATAGTACAAATGTCCATCAAGAAACTGAGCATTTGGTGGGGGCGGGGAGTGGCACAGTTCAGTGGTAGAGTGTGTGCCCACTGTGCACAGTGTCCTGGGTTCAATCACCACTACCTCCATTAAAATAAATAAGTAAGTAAATCTAATCTTACCCTTACAAAAAAAAAAAAAAGAAACTGAGCATTTCACATTGGAAGAGCTGTTCCTTTTACCATCTCTTCCCTAGACACTGAACACAGTTCAAAACACTTAGCAAAAAACGTGTGATAGGGAGACGGGTGACAAGGGGTCTGGGAGCTAAGCGGGAACCAGGTCCCGGGGAGCCTTAAAGATCAAATGAAGGGGCTGGGATTTTATTCTCAGGGCAATGAGGAGCCACAAAAAGATGAAACAGCAAGTAGGAGATGATTAGATGGGCACTGTAAACAAACACCTGCAGGGGCAGGGGTGGGGCAAACTTTGGAAATAAATAGACAGATAGCTTGAGAAATTAAAAAGCACTTTCCCGTGACTGTTAAGAGCCCAGTGAGAGTGAAGGTCATGAACTGCTGGTGGCACCAAGTTTCTCTCACAGCTCTCAGCAGCCCAAATGTGTGTGGGGTGGAGGTGGGGGTGGGGGGCAGCTGGCTTTGCTGCAGGGATGCAGGCTTTCCAGGCAGGCAAGCCAGAAAGACAGTGGGGACAGAAGGAGTTGGGGAGACTGACAGGGCCTCGCTCAAGGGCTGGCCAGCTGTGAGGCTTGGCAGTCAGGAGAGGAAGCGAAGGCAGAAAGGAGATGGAAAAAAAGGAATCCCAAAAGATCACGGCCTGGAGGCCCCCCCAAAAGTCCAAGTCCTGGTCCTTCCGAGGGAAAGTGCAACACTGGAGGCTGTGGTCAGAGAGAGATGACGAATGATGATTTCACCCAGGAGAGGCTGTTCCAGGAGATGACAAGGTCTGGGGGGTGGCTGTTGAGAGTAAAGTGGAGTGGAGGGAAGAGGTCACAGGCCGTGAGGAAGGCTGTTGGCAAGTCAGAAGCCTCCAGGACCATGACAGCCCCTGGGTGCCAAGGTGGTGAAATAAACGCACAAAGTCATATTACACATTATTTTCATCCACCTTTAAAAATTTTAAAGTACTTTGGAATATATAAATAAAATTGCTTTGGCTATGCATAATGCTCATCCTTATGGATTTCAATCACCTCGTAGAGTATCAGAGGAGAATGTTCGCAGTTATTTCCATTCTCTCACTGGATAAATTCCAGATAAAGTGTGCCATACATAGAGCCCAGCAAGTTGCCTGGTTGGCCTGTTCTCCTCCCAGAGAAAACCTCAAATACACACATTTAAATACAGACACCGTACCAGCCTTGAAAAGATTGCTACTTCTTTGCAATTTTTATGATTGAAGCATCCTCAGGTATAACGATTGATGTTGAATGTCAGTAATTCCGTCCAGTTCTTGTGTAAATGCCTGAGATCTACAGATGCAGCATAATTTTTCTCCACTTTATCTGAACACACCCATGATGAACTCCTTATTATGCTCAAAGTCCTTAATCTGGGGGCAACTGTGGGGGTTAAGAAGCCATGCACAATGGTAGTGATATTATAGAATCTGGCGATGTGGAACGGTTCATCTTGGTTCAGTACCATCATTCTGGGATTTCGGTAGCATTATTTTCTGGCAACAATACAGTGAAGCCAGATGTTATACAAAGAAAGAACAGAGCGGTCGGAAACAGATGCAAGCATTTACACAGATGAATTAAGTAAACCTTGGACACACCAAGCTGGATACGGGCCTGACTTCATCTGAGATCACGTTTCTCTTCTAAAATTCTTGCTTTATTTCAGCTCAACTGTACATCAGTTTCAGTGACACATAGGATCAAGCTAAGCTAGTCAAACACAGACAGAAAATGAGGCAGGAAGCTGGTAGGATTAAGAATAGGAAGGGGGCAGTCTAGGATCAGAGGGAGAAATAAACTAATCCTCATGGCAGACTCAGAAACCAGAGCCTAATTTTACTCCAGAAACAACACTGGACAGTTACACTCAGGGGCAGGAGGAAATGACCTGGAGAGTGAGGGAGGCCACTAGCGTAGACGGTAGTGTGAACAGGGCCCTGCCACGGTGGAGGCTACCCCTGGCATTTTCCCTAACCTTCAAAACCATCCTTCAAAGATCTCACTCGGAGCTTTTTTCCAAGCAGTTTCCTTCTGAAACGGTTCTCATCTTCCGTTTTTCAGGAAGGAAAAAAAAAAATTAGATTTCATGGAACAAGTGCATTTATTTACATAAGAGATAAAGTTTTAAGAACTAAACTTCCAGAAGAGAGGAACTGTTTCTTACGTATTCCAACACTAGACACAGACAGTGAGGGAAAGAAAAAATCTACCCCGCAGGAGTTCTTTCTGTAGCTACATAACAGCAAAGAGTCATCTGTGCACGCATCACAGGGCACCAGCTCACACACACATACAGAGAGAGAGTGAGCGTGTGTCAGACAGATAGACAGACACACACACACAGGAGTTACTGTCAGAATAAGTATCGTGACAGGTAAACCAAAATCCTGGACAACAGATATGGACATCGTGCCAGACATTCAGAGGTCACGCTGTACAGCTGAATCAGCTACATTTACGTGGCGTGCATTTAATTCACACAAGACTCAGAAAATAGTTCTATGCAGCAACGAACAGTAAACTCAATGCCGAGCACACCCGCTTTCTATGCAAATCTCACGCTTAACTGGTTGACAGGGGGAAAATATTCTGTACGTTATTTTAATCCACTGAAATTAAGTGATTTATCTGAAATACAATTCCAGGGCTCACTCTACGCAATACAGCAGTAGTCTCCAGAAGAGTGAGTGTCTTACTGATGCAAACCACGCCACAAGGTGCTACCCATTGCTTTAGGAAAGTGTAGGGACTATCAGAGCCTGCCTCCTTTTGTTTACCATAAACTCCTATTTTGCCACTTCTCTTCCCCATAACCTCACCTTTTCACATTCGACTGGCTTTTGACTTAAAAAGGGCTTTGCAATACTGTTTTTCTCATGGAAGCAAAGAAGCATTGTCCTAACATATCAACGCTAATACCCAGCCAGCTTTCAACTGTCCTGTATATGAAAGAATGATCAAATATGCTGAAAGTCTAAGAAGAAAG